GTACTGAGGATCATTAAGCCCAGCAGAATCCATAGTGCTGGTGTGCCATGATCTACATCATCTACAGTCTAATCTATGAAGAGTTAAAAATGCTCAACAGTGAAGTTACTGTTATTTTAATTTTGTTTTCTTTTATTCAACTTTATTTATTTAAAAAATAAGCTTTAAAAAATGTTGTCTAGGAGCTGGTGCTCTGGAGGTCTGGTTGTGGACCTCTATTTTTATGTAGCATGATCCCAGACAAGTAATTCATGGGAACTATCACAGACCTCAGTAGAATTTGACTGAGTAGATATATGGTGTTTGTGTGTGTGTGTATATATATATATATATTTTGCTTAGCTACACTTCAAGGGATTAATTAAATAGAATTCTGCTGTATAATAACATGAAGGCCTCCTAAATGGAAATGTTCTGTGCTACTCATGTTTTGAACATTTTTGAGACAATTGATTATTAAATGGACTGATTTAGAGAAGCTTACGTGAATACTTCCTATGAAGGAACAGTATAAAAATAGGATTATATAGTTTATTTCATTATTCTCTTTCTGAAGTACCTTTTTTATGTCTTTGCATACATAATTATATAGCATAGCACAGAATATCTTCCCAGAATATTGCCATTGCGCATCCAGTATCAGTCAATTTAAAGATGGCTTTCAGTGAGTCTGTGATGAGTGTAAAATCCCCAGAAACAACTAAGGTGTTCATGGGGAAACAGGATCTTACTTTTAAAATCTTTTTAATGACCAATTTACAACTTCTACTTCTAACTAATCATCTTTGAAATAAGCGTTTGGGTTTTTTTTAATATACTACTTTATTTTTAATATTAAAGCAAATTCTTTTTTCTAGGCAAGCGATGACGTTTCTGATAGACTTGGTTATGTGCTAACAGATGAATGACAATGTACTACTACTATTCAGTTACTGTGTTTTCTTAATCTTAGGTGGTGCTTTGAACTGTGATCAGTACAATGCAGCGTGAACGCCTAGCTGGTGGCAAGCTGGGTAGAGAGAGACAGCTGGAATTTATGGTCATGTGCATTGTTAAAAACTTAATTCTGGCATTGCTAATTCAAAGTAGATTGAGATATGTTTTGTCCTGGAAAGAGGAAAACAAGGAGCAAGGAAATGAAATCACTGTCATAAGCCTCAGAAGTTCTGGTGATGTATCAGTTGCCCATATGAGTCCTGTTCCTGTGTATGTTGCTACACAGCGCTTGCCACCAAGCCTTTTTAAATGTTTGAGAACTGCTGTAAATTCTCCTGATACAGTTATACAACGATATAAAAGAGTGCTTGCAGTGTAATTTCTGTAAAACTGTGGCACTTTGACATCTGCTGATCTCAGTAACACGTTACTGCTTTGCAGCTAGCAGAAATGCCAACAAATACCGTTTCTTAAAAATAAGTTTGTGTGAAGCTAACCTTTCTTTAAGCTTTAGGGATAGAGGCTCTCAAACTTCATTTAATATTCCTATTTTTCAAAGGTCGGATGGATATTAGCTAATTAGCTGTGGAATTTAATTATAGCTTCTTTTTAACTTTAACTTTCTTTTCTAGACCTTCTTGTAGTGAAGAGGAAAAGGGGCAGACCAAAAGGGTCTACTAAGAAGTTCTGTGTGGATGAAGATGTGGCAGAAAATAACCCTATTCCAAGCGAAGAAACTGCGCCTGGGACAGAGGAAGGACCGGAACTGGCTGAAGTCTCACCAGGCAGCTTGGAATGTAGGAAATGCAATCGGAAGTTCTCCAACACACGTCAGCTGAGGAAACATATCTGCATTATTGTTTTAAATGAAGGAGAGGAAGAAGGAGATGGAGGTAAGAAAATATCCAACAAAAATGCATGAAGCATGTTGCAAAACAGTGTGTTTCCATGCTTTAACTTGATTGGTAACAAATCGTAATCCCCAGTGTTAATTTTAAATAGAATTGAATTGTCTGTTTCTTTTAAAGTAAAAAGCATGTTGAAGCAAAACTGAGAATAAAGTTAGAGAAGGTATTTTTATTTTTTCTTAAAAAGGTCAAAATGCTTATTGCACTAATGATTGTCTTAAACTCCCTGAAATGCTTCTTTTGCATAAGCAACTGTTCTGTTTCTCACAAAGAGGAGTACAGTTTTCCAGTGAGAAGTGGTATGGGCCACACAAGTAAGTATCACACGTAGGTGAGGAAGGATGATCCTGTAGAGGTGTCTCTGTTAGGTAACCTGGGAAACCTGAATTCTGTCCTGTTCTTTTGATAGATTTAAAGACTGCTTTTCTGGATGGCTTGTTCTACTGTATAAAAAATAATGCCAAACTCCCCTCTTCTATTTTACAAAACTTTATGTGAATGACTGCCTTTGGAGTATGACAGTTCATTGTTTAAATTTAGCTGTAAGATTGATTTGAATATATTCAGCCTCTCGAAGTTTTAGACTAGAATAGATTTTTCAATTGGAAGGGACCTACAACAATCATCTAGTTCAACTGCACTTCAGGGCTGACCAAACGTTAAAGCATATTATTAATGGCGTTGTCCAAATGCCTCTTAAACACTGACAGGCTTGGGGCATTGACTACCCCTCTGGGAAGCCTGTTTAAAAAGACAACAGTGAATATTCAGAACTGTGATCATAGAAGAGAGCAGAACAGAACAGTTGGAAGGGACCTACAATGATCACCTAGTCCAACTGCCTATTTAACTTTGCTCAAAGGTGAATGTCACATGCATACAAAGTAATACATTTGTCCAAGTTATGTGAGTTTTGTGTTTGTGTTAAAATTGTTTTTGCTTTTGCTATAATTGCTTAGCATGATATCCTGTTAATTCTACTTGTAGACAAAACGTGCCATTGATTTTTCTCCAGTTTTCTATTACCCTTTTGTGTCCAGTCTGTCATTATGGTACACAACTAGTATGACTATTTTACTTTCAGTGGGATGTAGAATTTAACTTCTGTGGCAAAGAATAATTAAAATGGGCTTAGAATATGTTGACAGCACAGAAACTCTTGCTTTGATAAAGTACCTTGTTATTTTTTTACTATCATCAGTGGTAGGATTTTTCAACTGTGTATAGTGACCTTCACTCCAGCTGTCTCACCTCTGACATCACAAGTGTCGATGACCTTTGCTGTTTGTATGTGCTGGGTATGATGTTAACATCTGTGTTATTTTGGCAGTTGCCTTGTCTAATGTCCTTTTAAAATAAAATCTCAGGTCAGAGTATAAACTCAAATTAACTGTTCTTGACCTGTTAGCTCATTAGAGCTCCTAAATCTTATCTAGAGCTGTTTTGCTACAACACGCAGATTTTTCAAAGTAAATTGCTCAGCCTTTTCCTTCTTTAAAAAGAAAACAGCCGCAATTTTGGGCAAATGGAACATTTTTTATTTATTCTCTGGGAAAAGCGAAGCAATCAAGTGAAATAAGTCATTCTTGAGCAGCAAATAACAAGGGCTTCCAGTTGTGGGTGACTAGGGCAGCTAGAACATCTCCAGCCCAAAGCTTCCTACCTTGACTGCAAACTGTGAAGGTATTGGGGGCTGTTTTTATCCCTGAAGGGATAATTCTTCCTTGGAATACATCTGGGAAATTCAGTCTTCAGTTGTCTACTGATTACTGTCCCATCACAGGAAAACTTTTCACTTCTGGCTTTACCATATGAACTGCTTTGGGACAACTTTTCAATTTCTGAATATGTAGTTAAAAGTGGCATGTGTATTATTATTATCCTTTAAGAAAATGTGATTACACTGAGTAGCTCAAAACTTTCTGAGGAGTGGACAAGAACGATATGGTCTATGCCTAGGTTTGTTTGTTATACTTGGGTTGCTTTACCAGCTCAGAAATCATGAACTGTTGAAATTTAAGCTGTTCTGTTGTTATCAGACTCAAATTTCATTATGAAGAAAGTTTTGAGCATGATGGATGAACCTTCTAAATGTGAACAAAAAAGTCTAAAATTGAAACGGTAAGCAAATAATGAAATTGTAAATGTACTTTTAATCTGCTCATGTAATTTCATGAGGACCTGCTCATAATTTAAAAATAAAAATACTTGGACAAATGCACCAAGATTCTTAGTTGTCAAAGTTGTTGACAGTCCCTGAACTAGAGGTTTCACCCGTATCATTGGCAACTGAAAGCTGTTAAACCCTTAATTTATCTAAGTGGGTTACAAAGCTGTCTGGTTTCTAGTTTTCAGTATGTTCTGTGTTAATGAGTTTAAGAGCATTATTACATAGTTTGTGAAATAGTGGTACTTTTGATTGTTTCTTAAACCTGATGCTGCTCATTTCATTGGGTGCCATCTTGCTCTGTAACTCTGAGAAATGGTGAATAATAATGCTGTATTAACCTCTTGCACAAGGTTCATAATTTAGAAATCTTCATATTTGCATTAAGATTATTCTTATCCTGTATGAGTCTTAAGTAACAGACTAACTAGACAATATGGAAGTTGCTTATGCATCTGGTCAGTCTTATCATTCTTCTCAGCAACTCTGCTGTAACTGTTTTAAGATGGAGGACCAGAACTACAAGTGGTGTTCAAGACACAAGAGCATCTCTGGCTTATACCATGGCATAATTTTTTTATTTTTCTTTTCGGTTCTACTCTTTTCTTGATGATTCCTCAGATTATGTTTGCTTTTCTGACTACTGCTGAGTATTGAACTTACGTTTTCAGGGAACTATTTAGACAGACAACCAGATCTTTCCTGTGTTGTAAGAGTCAATTTAGAGCCCATTGTTTTATCAGTAAAGGTTTTTTCTTTGTGCTTTGCTTTGCATTTATTGTCACTGTAGGTGGGAGTCTACTCCATAGTAGCACCTGTCTGCATATATGTGTTTATACGCAAGGTTTTCTAAGCTTTAATTATGCTCGGCAAAGATCAAGTCAGTACTTTAGGGGAGCCTGTGGAGCGACACAGGGTTAGGTGAATTGCTCGTAGGCTCCATTGACTGTATTAACTAGAGCTCTGTCTATAATGGCAATTTAAAAATGTAGCTTGTAGGTGCCTTAATCTGGTTTAATTCCAGGTTATTCTGTCACCAGTTACTGATTATTGAGAGATCTTTCTGTAGCTTCATTGTGATCAGATGGTGTTGAATCTAAATGTATCATACACAGATAGTGGTGTAGCTGTCTCAGCACATAGTACTGCAAGTATTACACCAGGTATTTATTTTGTGTGTGTGTTTTTGTGTGTGTATAATGCTCAACAAATATTTCAGTTACTTGAGCAGACGTGGTTGATACCAACATTTTCTAGAGTAAACTATCCCTGAGACAAAAACTGCTTGAAGTCACACTTATTTTGGTGTATATGAGAAAAGGAGTACTGAAACTTCTAATTTGATGAGATTTGTCCTTTGCTGAAGTTCTTAGAGCTAGATGGATAATTTTACTGAGAGTCTTTGAACATTCCAGAGTTACAATATCTTCTTTCTCATTTCAGACATAGTAGTTCAGAGTAGATGGCTAAAAAATCATAAGGAGCTTTGACTGCAAGTTCTTCTCCCTTAGTATTTGATCTCTTACGTAGTACATATGAGGTGGTTTTTTCCCCCTTTTCATCCATGTCTTTCCAACTTGAAATTACTTCTGTCTGTTTTTCTAATGCTTCTGTGATTTTTCTGTAGTATTTTTTTATTACTGTCTCATGTTTTTAATTTTTTTGCAAAGTTTAGCACCGTATGGACATCTGATTAATAATCAAGTATGTTTTCACTTTGAACTGCGTCTGGCTGGGATGGAGTTAATTTTCTTCTTAGCAGCTCCCATAATATGGTGTTTTAGATTTGTAACCAAAATAACGCTGATAACACACTAATGTTTTAGCTATTGCTAAAATATGCTAAACATATCAATATATACCTTTTCAATATTTATATTCTGTGTGATATTCTTTATTGAGAGAAACATAATGTATGTATTGAGCTGAAGTTGAAATATTAGGAAAGGTTTCCAAGTAATAAAATGTTTTGCTGTCATTTATAGATCAACAAGGGAAGTGGTGAAATCCTTATCATATTGGACGTTTAAAATGACAATGAATAAATCACTATAAAACTGTATTGAAACTGCAGTATGTATTGGTCAGAGGAATAATTGGTGGATGTAATAGGCCTCTGCTGTTCTTTGCTTCTGTGATTAGTGATCCACATTGACCTCTCAGAGATCAGTGTCTCATTGATAGTTCTCCCACTCTGTCAGGAGTCACCAAGCCTTACTGGTTACTGACATCCCCTGTGCATCTAATTTAATGCTTTGATGCGTAACGATTGACTTCATCTTGTGGGCCCATTTGCTAAAACAGCAAGAAAAAAGTGTGTTAATTTTTTGCACAGAATTAAAAGATGTCCACTGTGCTTACAAATCCGCCATGTACATGCTTAGTACATGTATTTTTTTTAATAGAGGGCTAAGAAAGTTGCTGTGATTTAAGCAGAGCTGTGTGTACACCTATTTCTGGTTTTATTTGGTTAAACCAAATTGACGGTTTTGGCTAACGATTTGGATCTGGCTGGCTGGAGGTACTGCCATCCATTCTTTTTGTCCTAAGGCAAAACTAGAAGAGTTGAGATTCTTCCCGAACAGCCATGTGTCTTCACTGTGTCTGCCCCCAGCCAGAAAACGGAGCTGCTTCAGGCTCCACTGCTGGGATGGGATGGGTTTGGGGATTCTGGCTGTTGCTGGATTGGATCAGTTCCCCAGCAGCTGCCTCTAAACTTGCTTGTTTTGAGAGATAGACAACAGGTAATTATTTTAACCACCATCCCTCTCCAACACTGCAGCATACCTGAATGTCTGGCAGATATAAGAGAGGACAT